AACGCCACAGCGAATATCTAGATCACGAAAACAGCATGAGGCAGAGACGTATAGGCGCGGTCGAGGCGAGCCGAGTGAGTAATGGCGCCATCCCTCACCTCCCTCCGAGTGCGCCCTCCTCCTGGTAAAGCTCCGCGAGACCAGGGGGGGCCCGAGAGAACGCCCTGGACTGGGGCCGATCCCCTGGTTTCCATCCCGAACCATCAAACTGCATGCGTCCCTCCTCATCCAGGGCGAAGTTAAAGTCGCCTAGCATGATCCTGTGTTCTTTCGGGAACTGCACAAACTCTGCGCGAATCACTGCGAGGGCACGGGAATACCCTGCAAGAGTACCACTCGTGTTCGGAAGGTGGAGATTGAAAATGCTGAGAGAACCGCTGGGAACAGTAAGAGTACTGCGGAATGCACGAACCAGTAATGACCGCATTATGAATAATGGCACAAGACTGATTGCAAATGGAAGAATTCAGAGCGGCGGCGACCCCTCCCGCGCGCCGGGAGTCAGGAAAGGATGACGAACCATTAGGATGACCAGACATCTCCAAGCCCAGCCCGCTGTGGAGCTCCCCCATACCACCGATATGTCCGTGAGCCCCTTAGCAGCAAGTGACAGAGCGCTGACGAGAGAAGGGGGGGAAGGCGAGAGCATCGAGCTCCAGCGCGCCGCGAGGCGGACTTCACGGAGCAAAACAGACCGCGGGTGTTCCGCGAGCAGACAGAGAGATCGGAGGAGGGAACAAACGGCAGAATCTCTGGAGAGAGGGCAAAAGGAAGAACCTCACCATGCTCAGTCGGGGAGTGCGCGCGTGAAACGACAGACGATGGAAGAGAGCAAGTGCAGCCGGCTCGCTGTCTACGGGGGCGCCTGATCTGCACGTCGGCCGCGGCGCGAATGGCAGCCCCCTGGTTCTCCAATCCAGAAGCGCAGAGGCCTTCTGTGAAGATGTTGATGGAGACGGTCAACGCGTCGTCCGCCATCGAGAATTGAGCAAGTTCGATAGGTTCATGTTCCGACTTGAGGGCCGAGACCACGCCGCCTAAGCCGCTGCTGCCGACTTCGGTGCGCTTGCCCACGAGGCAGTTCGCGATGTGCGAGCGGACTCGGCCCATGGAGAGGAAGAGCTGCCGAGCTTTGGTGCCCCGGTGACGTTTGACGCGGAGGTGGGGCATGGGCTGCGGAGCGAGCGGGCCGGGAAGTCGAGCGAGGGATCGCGAGAGAAGTTGCTGAGGAAGTCCGTGGCCTCTGCGGGGCGCTCGAAGTCGAGGGTGATCTTCTTGGCCATGCCGAAGCACTTCGCAGCGGCGCGGATGGCGACATCAGCAGGGGCGCATTGGATCTTGATAGCGCCCGCAAGTGCGCGAAGGGACTTGGCGAGCATCTTGCGAGGGGGGCCAACGACGATCAGCCCGCAGGCAGACTCCTGTCTCGACGATGCAGCATCTGGTGCAGTCCAGCGCGAGGTCGTACTAGCAGTAGACGGGGCACGCGAGAGGGCGGTCCGCTTCTCTTCAACGCCCGCAATCTGGGCCTGGACGCGGTCGCGAAGAGTGGGGGCATGACCTGGGTCCATCGGGGTCGGGGTGGACTGGGACTGGGCCGCGATGTTCTCTTTGAGCGATTCAAAGCGAGAGTTGAGGTCCGTGTGCATCGCTGTTTGCTGGGCTTCGAGGCGGGAGACCTTGCCTTGGATGTCTGTGGAGAGGTTGTGCATGTTAGCTGTCAGCTGATCACAGTGAACGGCCTGGGCGGAGACATGAGACTTGTTGAGGCCAATATCTTGGGACAGCATGGAGAGCTGGGAGCCGAAACCACGGAGGGCACGAATAACCTCATCCAGTTTCTCATCTGGAAACACCCGAGGCAGTCTTTGCTTGTCCGAGCGGCTGCGTGACGGCGAAGACGAACGGTCACGGTCACTGAGAGGCGAATTCGAGCGACCAGCAGCACCTGAGCCAGCTTCCGTCCTGGCAGCCGAGCGGTGAGAGCGAGAGACGGGCATCGCGGCGGCTCCGCAGTGAACGGGGAATGAAAGTGGGAAGGGGGAGCAGAGAACCGCGTTGGTGTCGCCATCCTGAACCGCGTGCACCCTGATGAGCTGCACGATGCCCCATTCACCATGAAAATAATCATCATCACCATCATCAGCAGCAGCATCATCATCGTCATCACCATCATCATCATCACCATCATCAGCAGCAGCATCATCATCGTCATCACCATCACCATCATCATCATCATCATCATCATCATCATCATCAACATCATCATTTGCATCATCATCATCATCATCATCATCATCATCATCATCATCATCATCATCATCATCATCATCATCATCATCATCATCATCATCATCTTCATCTTCATCATCATCATGTTGCTCCTCGCTCCGCGCCCCCGCGCCTCGCGGGCGTTCCACGGCGCAATGGCAACAGAAAGCCGCGCCCCCATCCGCGCGTCGCGGACGCCCCGCGGCCCCCTCAACAATACCTCGGCTCGGCGGCGCCAAACCGCATGATTCGCGCCGCGGCGACCCCCCCCCGTGCCGCGCGGGCCCCCCCGGGCGCCATGGCCAAAAAACGGGCTGGGCAGTGCAAGACCCCGAGATTCTCGCCGCGCCCCCCACCCGTGCCTTGCGGGCGCCCCGCGGCGCCATGAAAACAAAATTGCGGTTCGGCAGCGCCGAGCCCCAGGACCACCGCCACGGCGCACACCCCCAAGCCTCGTGGGCGACCCCTGGCGCCATGCAGCGCCAAACTCGAAGATTTCTGTCGCGGCGCCCCGCTCCGCGCCTCGTGGGCGCCCCGCGGCACCCTCGGCTCGGCTGCGCCAGAGCCCGGGAATGTTGCCACGGCGCCCCCCGCCGCGCCATGCGGGCGCGCCGCGGCGCTGCGGCATGAACCCCTCGGCTCGGCAGCACCAGCGCCCAGGGTCTGCGCCGCGGCGGCCCCCCGCGGCGCCCCGCGTCGCCATTGCCAACAAAACCCTATGCTCGGCGGCGCCAAACTCAATGACTTCGGCCACGGCAGCCCCCCGCGCCTTGCAGGCGGCCCACTGCGCCATGGAATAAAAAAACAAAGCTCGGCAACGCCAAACCCTTGGCCTAAAGATCGCGACCCTCGATTCCGGGGCGGCGCTCTTTTCGGTGACCCACTGGCGCCCTGGGCCGCAGCCCAAATCTGGCTTCTCTTGCTTATTGGGCAAAGCTCGCCACAGGGACTTGCCCGCCCCCATGGCCTTTGGCGCATTGATGGCGACCCCTGATTCCTGCGCGCCTCTCGCACCAGGGACGCGCCGCTCGTCGTAAGGACCCATCCCGTTGAAATGCCCGCGGCTTGGCAACCGATTCTTGATGTTTGACCCGTTGGCTGAATAAGCACACGTTGCCCTAAGATGACTCAGCTCCTCTCGTAGATCTGATCAAAACCCATGGGGGGCAGGCAAAAAATCCCATCCAGCGCCAGCCCCTAAGATGGGCTACGCCCGAGCGTCAGTTTGCGATGCGTGGCCACGTACTCGCGACTCACCGCGCAGCGGAGCCTTGCCGCTGTCGCGGTGCGCCCAGAAGACGCAGAGCGGCATTCAGATCGGCACCGCTCCACCGCGCAGAAAACTTCTGGAAGAGCCGTGAGGCTCCACCCACCACCTGCTTACGGCCTCTCCCGATCACTATTGGACTAGTGGGCTCCTCAGGTCTGGGGGGCGCCCTAGGGCCCTTGAAACATCTGAAATATTTGCGCGCCTCCGATCCGCAAGGCTTTCGCTCGCAGGACGTCGGTCTCCGGGGTTTCCCCCCCCACCACCTGGCCCTTACTAAACGACTAAACGAATCAGACATGAGCGTTAGCTTTGACATATTGAAGTGAAAGGGCTCTCCGGGTATGCACGGTGGGAGCTGGGAACAACGAAAATTGTCGGGAGATGTTCTAGATTTGTTTCTGAATTTTCGTCGCGCCGGAGATTTGGCGGAAATCCCCAGAGATTTGTACAGCCTGGAGATTGTTTTCCGGAGATTCCCTCGGAGATCTTACAGCCCGTAAATTTTCTGGAGATTTTGGGAGTGCCCAAATACGATTTGGAGATTGCTTCAGAGATTATCCGGATACGTTTCATCTAGAGGGCTCTGGACGCGTTTGCCATATTGATCAAATATAAAAATAGACTGTGCCAGATAGATTGCGCCACAGGAATTGCACCACATAGCTTACACCGTATATATATATATATATATACACACATATGTGTATATATATATCTATATATTGCACCACGTAGCTGCCACCACATATAATAGGTAACGAAGATTGCACCACACAGAATGCTAAAACACACTGTTTGGAGTCCACCGTTACCAGAATGTCCTCTTCCACGAAAGGAGGGGATAGCAGAGGGGGAATATAGCGAATCGGCTGCACGTAGCTGGTTTGCCCAGCGCCCCCGGCGCGGGAGGCGGCCAAGCATCGGGGGACGTGCCCAGAGGTGGCGCCGAAGCCGTTTGGCAGCGGCTTTCGCACCCCCTCCTAATTCTTTCCTTCCGCATCCTCCAGCATGTGTGTCGGCGCGTCAGTCACAACAACGCATGCGTCTGCCATGTCCTTTCCTTTCCTGCACGCGTCTGGCGCGTCTGTGTCTGTCTGCGTCCTTTCCCGATCCATTGTCGCCCCCCCAGACCCCAGACTGGAGAGGCATCTCCTGATTCAGCGCCACGCAAAATCTCATTCTATTATCCGCGATCACATCACGCCCGTGACCGGGGCCCCGCCCACCCCCCCTCCCTCCCTCCCCTGTTCACGTCACGATTCGCGCCGGCGCCGTCTTTTGGGGCGACGGCGGCTCTCCCGCCGGGCCCAAATCGGCTCACACCCCCTGAACCCCACCCGTGGTCCATCCTGGCCAGATTCCCGGACAGGCCCAAAAATGACGAAGGACGCCAGGGCGGGCGGCCATTGCCTCGACTGGCCCTGCTCCGAAATGTGGCACCAGGTGGGCGCGAGCGCGCCTCCAGGCTCACCAAGGACTCGTCTCCGGCCAGCCCCCTCCACAAGTCCAGCGCGTCGCGCTTGTAGCCAAACCTTGGCCGGCGAGGGGCAGCCGAGGGTCAACCGAGGGGAGCAGCCTGCTGAGCGCCTTCCATGCCCTCCCCCGCCACAAACTTCCGTTCTTCTCCAACCTCTTCCTCTTCCTCTGCATGAGCGTTCCCAGATATGCCGCTTCTCCCCTGCTTATCCTCCTCCTCCTCCTCCTCCTCCTCCTCCTCCTCCTCCTTCATCACCTCCCTGCTACCCGAGCCCACAACACCCCCACGTGCGTATTATCACCAAGCTCCGCCGCCCCCTCCGGCCCCAACTGCATGCACCTAGCAGCACTGACATCGCGACGCATACATACATATTACACATGAGAAAATCCAATCAGTGGATGATTTGGAAATTAGTACTATGGATCTTGAGATCGATAATGAGATCGATTGTGGAATCGATAGTGAGGACGAATGTAAGGTCGATCGTGAGACCGAGTGAAATCGATTCAATGAGATCGATAGTGAGATCGATCGCGAGATCGCTCATGCGATCTCTAGTGAGATCGCTTGTGAGATCGATAATGGGATCGATAGTGAGATCGATAGAGAAATGTGTAATGAGATCGATAAAAAGACCAATCGACAAGAAGATCATAAATACAGATTACACCTGAGAAAACCCCAACCAGTGGATGATTTGAAAATTAATTATACGGATCTTGAGATCGATTGTGAGATCGATAATGAGATCGATAGTGGAATCGATAGTGAGGACGAATGTAAGGTCGATCGTGAGACCGAATGAAATCGATTCAATGAGATCGATAGTGAGATCGATTGCGAGATCACTCATGCGATCTCTAGTGAGATCGCTTGTGAGATCGATAGTGAGATCGACGGTGGGATCGATAGAGAAAGAGATCGATAGTGAGACCGATCGACAAAAACATCGACCACGAATCCGGGAACCCGGGAACCTCGCCGCCCTCCGAAATCGGCACGGAAGCCGGGACCGGGAACCCGGGAACCGGGAACCCGGGAACCCAGCGTGCGACAAAAATCGGCGGGACACTTTCGCCCAATTTTTCAATTTGCGCGAGGACGCCCTCAGTGCAAGCACTGATTGGGGAACATACGTACTTACGTACGTACGTGCGTACGTACATACATACACATATGTACGCAGACATCAAAGCATACATACACCTGTACATACCTACTTAGATACATGCATGCATGCATACATACACGCATTCATACATGCAAACATGCATACACACGCACATACATACTTGCCTGCATGCATGCAGCCATACATACATGTATATACTTATATGTATGCATGCATCCATTAGCACAGACACACATACTTACATACATACGTGCATACATACCGACCTATCTACATACAAACATACACACATACATACATCAGCCCATGCATACATGTAGATGTACACATGTATACATGCATACATGCATGCATATACATACTCACATGTATACAAACCCATACGTTCAAACATACACAGTTACATCTATATATATATACATGCGTACATACGTACATACGTACGTACGTACGTACATACAGACTTACATACAAATATACATACATACATACATACAAACATACATACATACAAACTAGAACCACGCGCGCGCTTCGCGCGCGCTTAGGTTCCAATCGACTCCGAAAACGGCGTCAATTTCCATGGGACCTTTTCCATGTGGTCTTCCGGGCTCCTCCCTTTCATCCATGCGTGATGTTCGGGCGGATGCTGCGAAGTTCAAGGAAGGGTTTGGCCTGTAGCGTACCAGCGACGACCGACGACGACGACGACGACGACGGACCACCGACGATTAACATAATTGTCACCTGATCCACGTGTGCGGGAGAGGCGTTTCCGAAGCGTCTTGCGGGCGTCATAATAGCGTCCACGGGCCTCGACATTGGGTGGGCGGGTCGGGGGGTGCAGCCAGGGCCACGTGTTCCGAAGCGCTATTCTGGAGCATGGAGGACGAAGGGCTTCTGGCGGGCTTCTCAGGGTTTGTGTAGAGGCCTCCTGCGAGCTCGGTGGGGGTTTATCGGGAGCTTCTCGGGTCTTTCTGAAGCTGTTTTGGTGTTTTTTTGGGGCGTCGTGGAGGCCTCCTGGGAATCTCTTGGGGCCTCCTGGGGGCCTCTTGGGGCAGAGGGCGCCTCTGTTCGGGCATCTGGGAGCTCTCTGGAGCCTCCTGGGAATATCTTGGGCCAGCTTGGGAGCCGCTGGGAGGGTCCGGGGCCCCATCTGAACCCTCTTGGAGCCCTCAAGGCCCCCTCCAGCCCCCCATGCGAACCAAAGGTCGCAAATCTGGGCCCATCCCGCAACCGTGTCTGGGTTGTGGGTTAGAGGCTTCTCGGATGTTCGCTGGGAAGATATCGTGGGATGCCTCTCGGGGGGACTTTTGGAAGCAGGTTTGAAGCCTCCACGGGGGCGTTGTGAAGCTTGTCGGACCTCTCTCAAGCATCTTTGGGGCCTCTTGGGAGCCTCTTGGAGCCACTTGGGGGCCTCTTGGGGCCTCCTGGGGGTCTCTGGGGGCGGCAAATTCGAAAGGTCGGTTCGCGTTCCCTCTCTTGGGCCCATCTTGGAGCCGTCTTCAGGCCCTCGTCAGGCCCTGTTGGGCCGTCTTGGGGGCCTCTTGGGCCTATCATGCGGCCCTCTTGGGCCGTCTTGGGGGCCTCTTGGGGCGACGTTGGAGGCTTCTTCCTCAGTCTTGGAGTGTCGGCCGCTCGAAAACGTGAGAAGCAACAAATATTGGAACACACACACAATGAAAATCAATGATTTGGGCGTCTTGGGGCTCTCTTGGAGGTCCTCGCGGAGCGACCTTGGGACGCTCTTGGGCCATCATGGGGCCATCTTGGGCGATCATGGGGCCATCTTGGGCGGCTTGGAGCGCTCTTGGGCCGTCTTGGCGGCTTCTTGCCGTCTCCAGAAGCCTAGGTGAACGCCTCGGGGAAGCGGAAAAAGTTCCGTGACTCCGAAAATGGGCCCCTGGATGCCAAAAAAGGACCCCGCAGCCCAGGGGGTAAATTCGGTTACGGGGGGGGGGGGGGGAGTTTGGGAAAAGTGTGCGACCCTGGGCCGCGGGGCCCCGGACGCCGCTTATATGATATGCATCTACATACACACATACATGCTTACATACATACATGCGTATAAACATGCATTCATTCATTCATACATACATCCACATACATAGCTATACATGTAATCTCGTATTGCCATCAGCTTCGGACACATCCAGCTCATGGCAACTGACCAGCACAACGCCCAAAAACATGTAACACCGCCTCGGGCGAGCTCCAACACTCATATACACTGCCCAGACAGGACTCGTCAAGCATAGCATCTTGCCAACATACAAACCCAACACTGTAACGATACGGTACCAACATTCAACATTGCATGAAGGTCAATCCAAAACACTCTGAAACGAGGCATCTGAAACTAACACGCGATCACAACGTACATTACACATAACCTTACCGACACCGGCATACACATGGAGATCAACCTCATCAAGAGCGAGGACCAGCATGAAAGGGAAGAGGAGAAAAGGAGGGCGGGGTCAGCAAGTTTCCTGAACCAACTCCGGAAAGCACCGTGCACAACCCTATTACTAATCCTCCTCCTCCTCCTCCTCCTCCTCTTCTTTCTCCTCATGCTCCTCCTCCTCCTTCCTCCTGCTGCTCTCCTCCTTCATTCCTTCCTCTCTACTTGCCCTGGTCAGCTTTTCCCTCCCCTCCCCCTTTCTCCTGCCGACTCCCCGCCGACGACCCACCACCCAAGTTCGGAGTGCGCCGTCTGCGCCTGCGCCAACCGATCCTGGCCAGGGCCAAGATCGGCGTATGCCTGTGGTTGGCGCCCTTCGGCCCCCCTCTCCCCCCACGAAAAGGATATGGGAGGGGTGGGGGGGCGGAACATGGCCAGCGCGCCACAAAACTCGGAGAAACTGAGGTTGCCGTCGCCGTCGCTGTCAAAATACCGGCGCCAAGCCAGGGTGGTGTTGCCATCACCTCGGCGGGGCGGGGGTGGCAAGGAGGGGAACGGGGGGAGCGGCGGGGGGATGACGGGGATGGGGAGGAGGACAAGGAGGGGAAACGGGAAGGGGGGGACAAAGAAGAGTGCGGGGGAGGAGGAAGACGGGAAAAAATGATTATGGCATGATTGTGGCCGTTCGGTATTTTTGGGTTGCCCGCATCAGACGCTTGGGCACGGGGGGGCAAGAAAAGTGGGGGCAGAAGGGATACAAGAAACAAGCAAATTCCGCTCGCGCCAGATCTGGCACCCCAGTGTTCCCAGCCGCCCTCTCTCATTGAGCTGAATGGTTTTATGCCTGCTGGCGGCGGTGTCCTGGGCGACCTCGATCCTCGAAATGATCCCAAATCGTGATGCGCAATCAAACACTGGGACCGTGAATACGGGGGGATGAGGAAGTGGAGCTTGATGCCTCGGAGGAGCAGGTGGATCAAGGGAAGGCGAAGGAAGGACAAGGAGAAGGACGAAAACGACCAAAGACGAATCGGATTTGGAAAAATTGCCCGCGCTGGGGCGATATGTCAAATGTCAAACCTGAACGACGTAAACAACAGATCTTCGCCTGAACTGCGGTCGGGCTGGGCATTGCTGCGCATATCTGGGCACGTACTGGCCTATAGGTGGCAAGGAGTTTGCACGCCCCCCCGCGGCGTTCCCGACCAGGCCGTGGCCACTTGCCATGGCGCGGAAACGAACAACATGAAAATGAGGATGAGGGTGACGACAATTGGATCGGTGGGCCACGAGTGCCTCGGTGCGCGCGGCAACGTTGCCCGCAACCTACTTTCGCACGATGGCCGTGCAAAATATACTCGGCCAACCCTAATTGCATTTTTGTTGTCGGCGTCGCCGGCGACCGTAATCGCGCCTGAGCAGAGCTGGCGGGCCGCGCCGGGCACAAAACGCCCGCGCTGGCGGAGGGGGAAAGGATGCCCCGCAATCGGTATTCGATGGAGGACGGGCGCGCGCACGCGGACTCAGGCACCAGAGGCCAGTGCGAACTTGAACTAGATCGCGAAGTACTTGATGTCGAAAAGGGGGCAGACAGGTGTGGGCGCTGATGGAATGCATTGGCGGCGGCCTTTCCTGGGGGCGCCCCGCGCCGTCGGGCCCCTCCTGCCGTCGCGCTCTGGGCGGTTTGTCGGCTGCGCCCAGCAAGCCGGACATCGCGCAGTAAGACCCGCAGCGGCAACCTGTTGGCCATTGGCTCGACAACGCGTCAGGTAGCGCATGACACCCCTGGAATGGCAATTGCATCGTTCACCTCCTTCTCGCATGCTCCTACTATGCTGCTCCCCCGCCCCCTCCCCATGCTGTTATCCAACACCCCGCATCGACGCCCTCGGATGAGGACGAATGCGTTGCATGCTGAATCAACGCGCGGTTGCGCGCAGACGCGCGCGCACCAAACGCAATATGAGGAGCGACCGCACCTTCCCCCAGTCCCTCAGGCGTCTATGGCCTCAAGGCATGCAGTGCAGTGGTCAGGCACTCTGTGCCTGTAGTGCACTTAAGCGCGGCGCCAGGTGCGGCGAGTTCGCAAGCTCGAAGCTTGTTGTAAAAGCGGAATGAAGGGGCGGTCCGACGAATGGCCTCGGCGAGCGAGTGCTCTGGGATGTCGCGCTGCCCAATTCCCTGGGCCGACGCGGGCGAGGGGGTCGGGCGAGAGAAAGGGGTGGGGCAGGGCGAGGATGTGCAGGAAGCGGGGACATGAGATGTAATGGCCGAGACGGTCTGGGCAGCCGTCGCATCCGAGCACGCAACTCCTGCGCGGGCCGATGGGGAAGCGATGGCTTGTCCACCATGCCCCCGCCAGCGTTCTGCAAACTGCCCAGCGGATCGCTGGGGGCCTTCATGGACAGAGCTGTGGCGAGTGTCTGCCAGCGCTCGCCGAGATTCGCTGGAAGCTGCACTGCGGGCGTCGCTGCGTGCAGGCGGCGAGCCAGGGCTTCGGCGAACTTGTCAGGGAAGAGGGAGGCGTGGAGGACAGAGGTGAGAGTCCGCTGAACCCTGGCCTTCCGCTGTTCCTGAGCGGCAGACGACAGCTCGGCTTCTGCTGCTCGCTTGGTTTACTGCCAAATCGGCAGCGGGACTTTATGTGGTGGCGTCGCTTCGCCGAGGGCGTGCCAGCATTTTACCATTCCGTAGCTCTTCCAAAAGACAGGAGAGACAGTGGCCCGAATAAGGGCCTGGGCCAGGTCCGCCAGGGGAAGTTCTGGATTCAGTTGGTCGTGCGCACGCTGAAGGGCATGAAAGAGGAGGCGGCCATTGCGGCAGCGTTCCTGTTGCCGCCCGCCAGGCTGCGGCTAGCGACAGCGTCATTAAAGCTGAGGGGGAGGACGGGTGCGACCACGAACGAGCGCCGAGGAGGTCGACGAGGCGCCAGGAGTTGGGGGGGTGCTCTCAGGATCTTGCGCAACGCGCCACGTTCGTGGCGGAAGAACGTGCCAGGGAGCGGCAAGTACTGGGTGAGATAAGAGAGAACGGTTATAACACATGTGCCATATAGTTTGATTGCGACTGCTGGGCCTGGAGCACTGGCGGTGAGCTGTACAACGCGCAGCCAGTATTTGTCGAACGCTGCTCCCCATTGGCCCATTGGAGATCTAATGTGACGTCGGGGCCTATGACTGCTGGGCCTGGAGCACTGGCGGTGAGCTGTACAACGCGCAGCCAGTATCTGTCGAACGCTGCTTCCCATTGGAGATCTAATGTGACGTCGGGGCCTATGAGGACCCCTAAGTAGCGCGCATATCCTGCTTCCTGTACACGCTGCCATTCGGGGGCGAGAATCTCGAGAAGCCTCTGCGCGAGACTCTGAACATCGGGCGTCAGGGGTGCCCAAAAGGGCACAATCACTATCTTCTGGATCTGAGGCTCAAATCCTGAACGTACGAGTCGACGTCGGAACGGGTTCCAAGCCTGGGCACGCCGGGTGAGCTGCATGGCGGCGCGCCGGCTGGCCGCCTGGTCGGGAAGTCATTCGGCCCCGTCCTGCTGGCGCTTGGTGGCAATGGCGATGCGCCTCTCGTAGTCCGCAGTGACTGCAATGTCCATGGTCTTGACGAACTCGTCTCTGTCCGTGAGCTCGGGTCCGTCTTCGGTGATGTGCAAGTGGTAGCTGCCTAACTCCGTCTCAGCCATGAGTATTGCGGCGGTGTCCTTGTCCTTCCTCCAAATCGTCCTGGCGATTGAACGTGATGCGGTGAGCCTCCCATGCTCGGCCCAGCGGCTGAGGTCTCGAAGCGAGGCGCGCTGCTGGAGGTTGCGAGTGAGTCTGGCTGCTTCTTTGATGATGAGCTTGCGCTGCTGCCACGCCGCTGTCGGCGTGAGGTTGGCCTTGGCGATGTAGCTCTTCAGTAAGTCGAAGTGGAGCTGGTAGGAGGGGTCGTAGAAGATGAGGGGGTCGATTGCCTGCCCGTCGATGCGCGATGCCGAGATGTTGCTGAGAGCGAGAGGTGAAGAATGGCATGAACACTGAGTCCTTGATCTGACAGAGCCGCACCGTCCTTGTGCATCTGCAGGTTGGCGTCTACATTGAGGAGGTCGATGCCTGTGAGCGAGACGAAGATGCGGTCGATGGCGGTCGCGGCCTGAGTGTTGGCCGAAAAGTGAGTGGGCAAGTCGTGCGTGATCTCAGCGGGCGTCGTGAAGAGCTGCCGCCATCGAACTTGCTCGCGTTGGCATTGGCCATCTGGAACCATTGGGCGCCAGCGAGCCGCAGGGTCGCGGAAGTTGAAGGACGGGGTGGCGCTCGTGTTGGAGTCGCCCATCGCAAGAAAAAGACGTTGTTGCGGTAGGGTCGCAGCCCATGCTCTGGAAGCCTGCCACGTTTCCTTGACGTTGTCCATGGCTGTCGCATTGAGGTCGAAGTTGTGGACATTCAAGAGCACTGTTTCGAAGCCTGTCGAGAGGTTGGCGATATGCAAGGCGGCTGCGCGTCCATGTATAATCGGCTGTAGGGAAATAGACGTGGTGGAGCGCGTAGGCGTCGGGACCAGAAAGGCCAGACCTCCTTTTCCTCTGCAATGTTCACCTGCCGCATTCTTGCAACCATTGTAGAAGACCTGGTAAGCGTACGGCAACTTCGCGAGGTGGGATTGTAAATCCAGCAGCGAGCCATGAACTTCCTGAAGCACAATGATGGACTGATTGCGCATGAACGGGACGAGTTGACGTATGTTGGCCCACCTTTTTCCTGTCATCGTGGCATAGCAACCCGCGTGTGTTCCATCAGATGTAGTGGCCCTTCGGGTCGGAGGAAGTTTGTGCGAGTTGTAGTAAAGGCAGCATGTGGGGCTGAGGGTGATGGCGGTGAACGGTTTGTTGTGACACTGGATGTATCAGCAAAGGATGAGGTCGTGGAAGCTGACGAAGATGCCGATGTAGAGGTCGAAGAGCTGTCCGAGGGAGAGGAAGTGGAGCTCTGCACGACATCATGCACGAGACAGTCTTGTTCAAGAAGCAGGTGGACATCCTGCAGCGGCGACGTAAATTCTGGAGGGCTCCCCAGTCCCTGAGAAGGTCGGCCTGGTGCGGCATGTTCATGGCGTGATTCATGAAGCAGAGGATCGTGTCTAGCATCCCGTGGATCGTGTCTGTGGGGCTGTGGATTTGTAAAGCTGTATAGTTTGTCTGTGGAGCTGCGGGTCTTGTCTGTGAATGAGTAACTACCAGGCAATCGGGACCGAACCCACCGCGTCCCCCGGCGGTGGTCAGAGTTGGCTGCATCATGTGTCACGGTGTTGCTGTCCTGTAATGCTTTCGGCCGGCGCACAGATTTACGCTTTCGTCGCGCGGCGGTGCAACAAATGTTGCGTTTTGTTGCGCGTCTGGCAATTGCGTACCCAATTATTTGCGATTAGCGCGCCTCCCGCACACATGTGGTGAAGTCGGTTTTGCGGAATGTCTGCAGCGCCGCACGTGTGTCGCCCAAGGTCGGGGCTGACGGTGAAGGCACGTCTCACGCTAGGTTCAA